TACTGCCCCTATACTAATCTATCCTAACTACAAGAAAGAGTTTATATTGGCCACTGATGCTTCTTATACTGGATTCGAAGCCACCCTGAGTCAAATTTCGGATGACCAAAAAGAACACCCTATTGCTTATGCAAGTAAAAGTTTGAAGAAAGAATAAATTAACTATGGAGCCACAGAACTAGAATGTGCTGCCATAGTATAGGCTATTGAACATTTCCACAAATATTTTGTTACGTTTCGTTCTAACTATCGTACATATTCGTTCTAACTATCGCGCTATCTTTGTTCATAAAGAGAGTTAGCACTATAAAACAAAAAAAAAAAAATAGAACCCACATAACGAAAAACTTACTATAAGCGCCAAAGAATCCAAAACTATTATGCTACGTTCCATACTAAATATTCATACTAGCTATCGTGCTACGTTCGTACTAACTATCGGCTACGTTCGTACTAACTATCAGCTATGTTCTGTTCTAACTATTCCTAAAAGGGAATTAGTACTGAAAACTGAAAAAAAAAATAGAGCCCACATAACAAAAAAAAATTTACCTTAAGCGCTAAAGAATCCCAAACTATCATGCTACACCTCATACAAACTATCGTGCTACGTCCCATATTAGCTATCGTGCTACGTCCATTCTATCGTACGTACGTACCTACGTATTAAAAAGAGTTAGTACTGTAAGTCGAAAAAAAAATAAAGCCACATAGCAAAAAAAAAAACATACTGTAAATGCCAAAGAACCCCAAACTATTATGTTACGTCCCATACAAACAATCTTGCTACGTCCATTATAATTATCGTACAATGTCGTGCTATGTTCCGCTCTAACTACTGTACTATGTTCGTTCTAGTCACCAAAGAAAATTAATACTGTAAAATGAAAAAAAAAACGAACTTACATAACAAAACAAACTTACAGTTTTCACTGAAGGAATCCAAGAACCCCGAATCTAAAAAAGAACTACCAAGAAAAAGCAAGCGTTAGTACCATAAAGCGAATAAGTAAAACTAGAACTCGCATAACGAAAAAGCTTACCGAAAACCCAAGCCAAAGAGAAGCGTTAGTAAAAAAAAAAAAAGCGATAAACAAAAAAAAAAATTTTATAAACAAAAAAAAAAACACAAAAAAGGAAACAGTACTTATCTATCATGTGTTCACCGGCAGGGGATGAACCGACCCATGATCCGGCATCGGTACGCCGGTGGGAGATATACCTCCCGCGGGAGATATATCTCTCGCGGGAGATGCCTATAATTTCCCTTATGAAATGATTGACTTATCTAAAAACTTTGATGAAAAATATAAATTTATAGAATTAAAATAAGGAACAACAAATTATTCATTTATAAAATGTGATTTATGGTCAATACAACTTTTAACAAAGAATAGTGGATATATAAAAGTTCTTTTTAAAGATGAATCTCAGGCTATACTCTTATTAAAAAATCCTACTCGCAGATAAACAAAACTTATTGGCTATACTGATTTGTGACATCAATTGATTAAGGCTACTTGATAAGCAATTTATAGAATTTTACATGTATACAAAGTTTATTATTGACTTCAGCTTAATTTTTATAATACTTGTTAAAAATATTTAATCTACTAGTTAGTTATAAATTAAAGTATTGCATTATAAATTATGAAATGCTTCTTTAAATATATTATACAAATATGCTCAAATATGTTTTTACAATACCAGCACCAATAACTTTAATTCTTTCACTACTTGACAATATAATTAACATGTGTCTACAAGAAGCGCCAATAATGTCGTATCTTCAAACTATACAACATAATGCTCATCAATTGCTTAAACTTACTAATTTTTTTAATAATAATTGTAGCAGCTAAAGCTAAAATTTTAATATAGTTTATATAGATTTAAATGGTGATTTTAAATTTCAGCATCAGCTGCCATGATAATTAATAAATATACTTTATCTCTTATTAAAAATAATTTTCTTCCTATACAGTTTTCAAATATAGATCTAATCAATTTGAAGCATATTATGTAAAACAAACATAGTAAAATTTACTAAAGGGTTAGCTTTTGACTTTAAAAGTATGACAAAACATTAAGCTTAGATTATATTCCAAATTCAAACAAATTAAATTAGATTGTGAATACTAATATTTAATTTAGATTATAATATATATGAAACAATTATATTTAACCTTTGTAAGCATTTTTTAAAAATATTCTATTTGTTAAAATGTGAAAAGCTTATTGTATTAAGATGTTTTATTTGCTAAGGTTTGAATGCACTAAATCATACTTGGAATAGAAATATTACTATCTGCTTATATATTGACTACAAAGATGAGAAAAGGACGGCAGTTCTTGAAGTGTCTAATACAGATTAATAATTTTTTTTATAAAACTTATTGTTCTAGACAATTAGTTAAAGTGCATAACAGCTTAAAATAGATTTTATATATTAATCTCAACTCTGAATTAATTTAGGAGTTGGTAAAATATATTTCAACACTTTTATCGCATAGAGTCGACCGGAGTAAAATCGCCACCCAAAAAAGTTTCGAAAATGATTAAATATTAATTGATTTAATGAGTAATATAAAAAGCGATCATCACAATCTTGACAAATTAAACGCGTAAAATCCAATAAACACAATATTCTAACAATATACTTGATTGCCGTAACTAAATTTTCATAATAATAATCGAAAAAAGAATGAAAGTCGAAATAAATTACAAAATCTAATTAAAAATATGCAATTACACCAGAAAACCTTGTAGATTTTATTTTTAATGTTACTTCCGGAAGACTATAAGCCTGATTATTTATTTGAGCAAAAAATTTTATAAATCTGAATCCGCAACAAAATAAATTATTGAAGAAAACATAATGGATCTAAATAGTAACAAATGGCTCGATAATATCAATAAAAACTTTGAGCCATTGCATAAATCAGAAGAGGATTCTAAGCATTTTAAAAGGCAATGGAATCTTCCAAATATTTAGAAAAACCATAATAATCATACTTTCCGGCTGTAATAAAAATTACTGAATTGATTCGAAATAAATTAAATGATTAATTTATTGCTTATCGTTATTATTTTGTTAGTATTTAAATTTTTGTTTGTATTTTTGTTCAAGTTACATGGATTTTTGGTGCTCGATATACTTGTCACGTAACATTCGAAACTTTTTTGGGTGGCAATTTTACCCCGGTCGATATTCATGGTTCTAATGGATTTATATTACATATTTACTATTAATAATAAATTGTTTTTTTTTTAATTTTAATTAAAAAAATATAACCATATTTTACTGGTCGCCATGATGAGCATATTGATGAGCTTGACAAATTGCATCATAAAAATTTAGGATAAAACAAATTTCCGTAACACAATATAATTTCAGTTGTAATATTTAGCGCTTCAATATTTCCAACTGTAATTACCGTAAATGTATGAAAGGCTCAATAATTGAACTTTGGAGTTTCATGTGATTCTCATCTTTAATTGCGCTTCTTTATTATTATTTATTGCACCCTTCCCAACGCCCTTCCCAATCTTTCATTGTCCCTTCACATTTATTGCACCCTTTCCCAATCTTTCGTTGCGCCTTTTTATTATAACTCTTCCCAAGCTTCGATTATGTCTTTTCCCAACCTTTTGCAACGTGCGGTATTCAGCATTAAGACAATTAGTATTACGTGTTTTTATTGTTTATAGTTTTTCGGCAATTAATACAGAAAATTTTATTACAGTATTATTTTGAAAAATTAATTCGACATCAGCTATACAATCAATAATATTTTTTACTCGGACTCCAATAATATGTAAACTAAATTAGAACTTAGAAGTTATACATGATCAATCAAGTCAAAGCAGCTGTTTCTTTTATTATTGATGTATGGATACTGTATTATTTTAACCTTCTGTAATTTATTTTGATCTCCATTTAGATAATCTGTTCCCGGTTTTTCGCGCAGCTATCTATTCTTTAATTATTTATGTATTACATATAAATATTTGGCCATGGCTTTTAAAAGCAAAATAAACAAAAGTTATACAGAAAAGGCTTAAATCTATTGCAATTCTTTATATTTAAGCAATGCTTATAAAGTTTAGAGATGATTAAATTGACGCCTGACATTAAAATCATATGCGATAAAAATGGTGGATACTTCGGATACTTCAGAGCTCCATATTCAAATCCCGCAAGATGTAGGTAAAGCTGTCGATTTTAATCCACATAAAGGCAAACCAGCATCAATAATAGCATGTTCACCTAATGGTAAATATATTGCTACATGGTGTTTTGAAGATAGGTCAGTTGTTGGCTGGAAAATTGTTGATGGTGAATTGCAGTTAAAGCATGAATACATGATTTCTGTGGATAATACTATATATAATAAATGTTCAAAATTGTATGTGCACGAAGGTATTGATATTGATCTGTATAAGCACAAAGATAATATCCATAGACACCTTAAGCAGAACTACTCATCATTCGTTTCCGTTTCTGATAATTTACTTGTATCTATGGCAATTTATGAAATTTATGAAAGCGAATCTCTTTTTCTTTTTTCGAAATTTAAAATTGGTAGGTTTGTTTCTTTTTATAGACATGAATTATATAGTGAAGCCGAATGGCAATAATTTTACTATTTACTTTCATGATTTTATACTTTTAAGTGTGCCAAAAATTTTTTATAATTTCAATGAGATAATCACTGTAAACATATCATGAAAAATAAATAGTTAAATTACTTTTTTATATTTTCATATTTCAAAATCTTATCATTTTTGAGTTATGATTTAGTTCTAAATTCAATTTTATTTGTTTTAGGAATTTTCGATTTTAAAACCAATAAGCAACGTTTGCAAAATCCACCGATGACTAATTTTAATGTTGTATGTTTGGCTTTTTTAAAAAGTAGTGATTTAGTTATAGTCGGTTATAAGCGCAATCAATCTAAAGTATATAGGGCATATGTCTTTACTCAACAAAATAGTTCAGAATTGATTCACAAATCCACAATAAAATTAGACACTATTGAAAATATTGATTATATTTCTATAACAATTGCAGGAAAGATATTTATATATAATACAAGTATAGGAAATATTACAAAATGGGATATCATGACTTTAAAACTTGAGGCATACTTTTTATTCAAACCCGAATGTTATGATAATAGAGAGATTAAGTTGAGCGATGATGAATTATTACTATTTGTGCGTGGAACCGACTCATCTTATTCATACATATCCATTTATTTGGCTAAAAATGGAATGAGATTTACAACATGTATGTAAGTAAAAAAAACATAAATACAAATAATTTAATTCCAAATTACTAATTATTTATTATTACTATAAGATACATATGATAAGCAAATTAAAATTGATGCAGTTTATCTAATTGCTTCCAAAATTGGAGCACGACTTCTTATAATAGCTTATAATGAAGAAGATAAATCAGAAATTTACAATTTAAGGGATCCATTTACATTTACAGAACCTGTAGATGCTCATAAGTTCTTTGACCATTCTGAAGATTCAGATATGCAAATTCAAATTCAATATCCATTTATTGTAAAATCTGATAAAATCATAGGAATTAATGATGAAAATATTGATAAAAAATTGATAATTAAGGAACTAATACAAGATAAAAATAATTGGATCACATTTTTAAGAAAAACATTGGGAGATTTCAATAGAATTTATATGTCATCAATTAAAGAACAAATTATTAAATTTCTTGAAGAGAATAGAATGGATTATGGTTTGCGTTCTGATATTGAAGCTTTTATGTCAGTTACAGAACAAATTGATTCTAAACTTAAGATATTTGATGCTTTGACTGGAAAGGCAGTTAAGACTGAAATGGCAATTAATGAGGCAACCAATAAAAAACCTGATGCTGATGATGCAAAAGTTATTCTTAGTGAGTCATTCGAAAAAAATCTTGTCAAATGGACTTTACAATGTTATAAAACAAGTGATATTCTTTTGGCAAAACATCTCAAAACTGAAAAAGCGTGTTCAATCTGTATAAATGCTTGTTTAGATTTAGATTCAATAAAAGCACAATTTGTAATAAGTTGTTGTTGTCTGGATAATGATGCCTTGGTTATGCTTACAGTAGGACGTGTGTTTATTTGGACATTTAGCACAAAAAAAGACATATTGTTGATTTATACTTGGTGTTTTGATAGTAATTACGAAATAATTAGCTATTTCAAAAATGCAGATTATTTTTTACCTCCACCTCAATATATTTATGGAGAATCCGCTTTTACGCAACAAGATGAAACCAAAAGATTTTTTTTTAGTGAAATGGTAGATGAACATATTAATAATGAATTTTTTTTAATTCTTTATGGAAAAGACATTATTAACGAAAATAAGGACTCGTTATTGCAAAAGTTATGCAGTAGTTCCCTTAAGTATACTTTTGAAAGTGCTGAAGGTTTAGTTTCAAACATACAGTTATTTAATATAATTTCACAGTCTATTACAAAAATATTCAAAACAAATCCTATATTCTTCAGGGACTTTATAATGCAAATTTTATTTTTGTGTGTTTTTGACCAGCACTCTATAAACCTTTTGTTTGACAAAGCAGAAATTCCTCCAAGTTATCATAATTATGGAAGTTATAGTCAATTATCTAAATTAACTTGTCTAGACACCCTAGATTTTCTATTAAACACATTTTTTTATAATTTTTATCTAAATAACAAATATCTGGGTAAAATTATTATGTTGCCATTAAACAGATATTATGAAGAGCATTTTGTTAAAAAAAAACCAAAAGAACAGCAATTACTTTTAATGTTTCCATTACAAAATTTTGTTACTTATCCTGAAAATTATAAATTTTGGGAAGAACTATTTAAACCAAAATCTAGTAATTTTATAGAAATAACTGATTTATCTTTTTATGAAACTTGGAATGGTGAAGCACTTATAGATTTTAAATGGAATACTTTTGGTAAAAAATATTATTTAGCAATTTGGGCAATATATACAGTTTTTTGTGGTAGTTTTATTATTGTCGCTACATTATATAATAATATTTCTTGGTATTATCAAAACATTTTATTAAACATTACTATAATTCTTGGTTTCTGGCATCTATTTTTTGAAATTCGACAATTTATTTATTCACCCATAAGTTATTTTTCAAGTATTTGGAATTATTTAGGTGAATTTTTATTAAAATAACTATTAACATATAGATCTTCAGAAAGTGATTTCTATAAAATTGGAAACACAGTTAATATATACATAACTTACGTGATATTTTATTTTATAGATCTTGGTGCTATAATATCTACGCTAGCAACTTCTATTAGTTGGTTAAAATATGGATCTGTCTCATCTTGGGCTATTACATTTTCAACCTTATTTCTTGAATTAAAATTTATTCTTTTTTTTCGATCTATACAATTTTTTGGAATATATCTTGCTATGATTATGAATACAGTAGATCAAGTCATATCCTTTTTAATAATATTTGGATTTATTATACTTGCATTTGCACATTCACTGCATCTCTTATTGCGATACGCACCTGAAGCAACTCAAGGTACATAATCAATTATTTGATTTACTATATACAGTATTTTATAATCATATTAGTATTGATTTGAAAAAATTTCGATCTTAGATACAAATATATTTGCACAATTTGGTTCTGCAATTTTGGCATCTTATTATATGATGATTACAGGTAACTTTTGTTATTTAATTACGATTTAAAGTTTTATAATTTTCTTTAATATGATTATTTTATCATTTATATTAGGAGATTCAGCTCCTATTTCATCATGGGTTTCAAACGAAAATACTATAATAATGATTTTAATGATTCTATTTTCATTTTTTACAATAATTTATTTGATGAATTTATTTATTGGAATTCTCGGTAATTTAATTGGTGATAAAAATAATCGTTTCGCTAATTTGGCCTTAAAGAAAGAGGTACGTACAAGTTTTTTGATTTTTGATTTAGGTTAAATATTTTAAATTAAATTTATAACTTGTTAAATGCTAAATTTATTAGATTATTGTTGAAATTGAGTTATTTTATTTATTACCTTTTCAAAGAAGAAAACATAATGGATCTAAATAGTAACAAATGGCTCGATAATATCAATAAAAACTTTGAGCCATTGCATAAATC